TATTCACGAAGTTGGTCAGCAATATCAATGCCACCCATATAACGATTGTAGTCATCGATTATCTATGGAATTTCCAATTCTTTTCGATATGCATCTCCAAAAACATGATGAACAGTATTTGCATTAGAACTTGTTTCACGTGGATGCCACCGGTTACAAATAACTTTAGAATTATACCAGAAATTTCATGAATAGTGGACAACATAGTTACTGGGCCATTATCGATCCAGAGAATGGCCAAAACATCATCAACTACTTTACTTAAAAGTGCGTTTTAATCTAAAGGCGATTCTTTGATAGTTTTTAATTCTCTGGGAAATCTAGTTGAATTCGTACGAACAGTACCGCAGGCGCCAACACCATTTTCATATAAATATTTAAAAAGTGGTATGCTGGAAAAGTAGTTATCCATATACACATAGTATGTTTTATCACGAGAAAGCTTACAAACTAAATGCGCAACCATGCTTCCTGTATTACTAAGGCCGGGAATAGATTCTAAAGATATATTTTTTTTAACACGCGAAGTAAACAAAAATACCCATGTATATCCACGATCACAAAGTGAGATTATTTTGTAGCCTTCTGGTGTCGGTTTGTTTTTCATCCTTACTGTGTGGGCACTTCGCCTGGAGAAGCGTACAATCATCTCATCAATGGAAATATTTGAGCTAGGTATATAAAATCTCTTAACTGCTTGAATATGCGTCGCCAACAGTTTCACTTTAGAATACCAAAAAGGATGCACTTCACTAGGAGACGAAATATGAAAAAATCTTTTTATTTGTTGAAACTTAATCATATTCACAAATCTTCTAATCTCATGTGACGCCTTTTTTTCATCCTGATTCCATAGATCTTTGATAGCATTAATTTGATGAACACCTATGTAAATAATTAACCCAAGCCAAATTTTTAACTCATTTAAAGTTAACAGATTCCATGGATGATCTCTTTCCCTACCCTTTACTTGTTCATATATATTAGTATTCTCAACTATTGTCTGCAATTGTTCATTGGTAAAAAACAACTGAAACAGTGCAAGCGGAGTAACGATTCCAAGTTGAAATTTGTGAGGAAGTGTTGCATATCCTTTATGAAGTGGATAAAGGTCTCGCATAAAATTAAATGTAGGACATTCTAACACTGGTAATGCTATATCGGTGTTTATATTACTAGTTTGTGCCTTTTCATTATTTTTACTCTTTCT